TAAATAAATAAATAAATAAATAAATTTCTCCCCCTTTTTCATAGTCCATAAATTTTGGGTTTTTTCCGCTTTTCAGCTGATTTCAGTTTTTTCCGCTGTTTAGCTGGGTGAGAGCGTGAAACTGAAACAGAGCTCGAAATAGATTTTGTCGTCGCAGCATATCACATAGTCAGTTCGCCCGGCTAACGCCGAGCTTCCTTCCTTCTTTGACAAAGTTGTAGTAGTCGACTAACTCTCCACTCCTCTTTTTGAAACAAACGATAGTTTCCTTTACACGAAATTCGCCACAGAACTAACAGGGCAGTGCAAACGGTGTAGAGTGAAAATCGGTGCTTACCCGTTTGTTTGGAATCTCGAACTTCTGCTGTCTTCCTTAGAAATAAATACCCTTAAAAAATCCAACTGTCAAACAATCACAGATGATGTTCTGAGTGATGATAGCACCGTTACCAAATGTTCTTTATCCATGGACCCTTTTCTTCACGGAGATATCATTAGTTGAGAATTCTAGATTGCGGGCGGTCTACTAAATTTTGTCGCAAATGATATCGAAAGCAAAGAGGATCCTTCATCAAGTCACAAACCTTGCTGGATGGTGGTCGAAATCTAAGAGCAAGAAAACAAAATTCTTATCTGTTTATCGTATTGTCGCTGAAGGGTACCTATCACAGCACTTGCCACTCACTTTTGTCGCCCTACTCTACCATCCCGTCTTATCGAGTGAAACCAAGGCTACATCGTAGATACCGAAAACATTAGGATTTTGATGGGTAGGTGACCTCTCTTAGGTCCCTTATCCTCTCCTATCGGTTATAATCAGTTCTTGTCACCGAGGACCTACGATATCGGCACATCCTACATCACTTGCTAAAATGCCGAGGTTCCACCGTTAGTACGAAAAGTAAGTGTAATCCTACCGAATTTCGAAGGGTGCTATTTATAAACTGAGGGGCGGCTGCGAAATTCGCTGTGGGACGCAATACCGTAACCCGCGCCGCGCTCATGTGCTTATTTGCAGCTGGCCTAAATTTAAAAGTGAAATGAAAGCCACCAGGATGGGAAATGTATAAAAAAGGGAAGGTGTTGGGTGTCAGCTGCAGTTTATAATAATAGGTTATAATCAGTAAGGTTAGGGCGACAAACAGGTATTCAATTTCTGAAAACTTCGCTAGTTTGATGTAGGACTTTCAAAGCAAAAGTCGTTTTATGGTATAAGCAGTGACAGGCACTCGATGATTACTTCCGGGGTAGCATAACCCACATCCTAGTTGCTTTAGAGGAAGGTTCATAATAACTGATAACTCCTAAAAGGAATAAATCTGTCCGACATGCACAAACGATTTCTCAACTAGGGTGCAATGCCTAAAGTTCCAATTTAATGTGAAGGGTATGGGTACATTCACCCAGAACTGGATGGACACGGCAAACCGCGCGGCGAAATTCGTGATGATTGAAACGGCTTTGGCGCCTATCATCGCGGCACGGATCTCAAGTAGATTGGATGAGTAGGGCCAGCTGATGCTACTTATATATCCCACTTCAAATTTGTGCCCTATTGATAGGCGCCACAGTCGTTTTAATCANAAGCAGTGACAGGCACTCGATGATTACTTCCGGGGTAGCATAACCCACACCCTAGTTGCTTTAGAGGAAGATTCATAATAATTGATAACTCCTAAAAGGAACAAATCTGTCCGCACATGCACAAACGATTTCTCAACTAGGGTGCAATGCCTAAAGTTCCAATTTAATGTGAAGGGTATGGGTACATTCACCCAGAACTGGATGGACACGGCAAACCGCGCGGCGAAATTCGTGATGATTGAAACGGCTTTGGCGCCTATCATCGCGGCACGGATCTCAAGTAGATTGGATGAGTAGGGCCAGCTGATGCTACTTATATATCCCACTTCAAATTTGTGCCCCAATGATAGGCGCCACAGTCGTTTTAATCACTACGAATTTCGCCGCGTGGTTTGCCGCCTCCATCCAGTTCTGGGTGAATGTTCCGTCCCCCAATGTGAATAGTTTCATCAAAGGAGCTCTTATAACAGACCTGCTTTTAGCTCTATCAGTCGAGTGAAGCGCCTCACCCAACACCTTCCCTTTTCTGTACATTCAAAGGGAGATGTTGGATGCTGTGCTCTCCTTTCCTTTCATCCATTCCCCATCCTGGTAGCTTTCATTTCACTTTTAAGTTTAGGCCAGCTGCAATTAAGCACATGAGCGCGGCGTGGGTTACGGTATTGCGGTTCCACAGCGAATTTCGCAGCCGCCCCTTGGTTTATAAATAGCACCATTTCAAAGCTCTAGGTCCACCTAAACAAGGGTTTAGTTTTGCGTCCCAATATTTCTATCGCGCACGCCCCGTCCTCTGTGGGCGGAGTCTTTTCCTTCTACCTGCTATGAGTGCTCTCATCCTGTCGCCTGTGCTCCCCAAGTTTGAACTTTCTAGGTCCACGGGGACAGGAGTTATGAATTATCTGTACAGTTATGAATAATGAATGCCTAAAATTTCTATCGCGCACGCCTCGCCCCTGTGAGCGAAGTCGGTTCTGCCATCCACCATGAGTGTTTCCATCCTGCCTCTGTACTCAAACCAAATTTCAACGCTCTAGGTCAACGTAAACAGGAGTTTAAATTTGCGTCCCAAGGTTTCTATCGCGAACGCCCCGCCCCTGTGCACGGAGTCCGGTCCTGCCACCCCCCATAGGTGTTCCTATGCTGCCCCCCGTAATCCTACCAAGTTTGAACGCTCTAGGTCCACGGGGCCGGTGATATGAATTTCCGGTCAGACACACACAGCGACACACACTCACAAAACACACGAGCTAACCAACAGACACACTTAGGGAATTATATATAGTAGGATAGCTTATCAGCACTCACAAATACAACGTGTTGAGCCGGTAGGCCGATATCAGCACTTGACCGTTAAGCTGAAAGCTGTACTAGCTGTAAGTTGTTTTGACTTGATGTTTTGTTAACTCTGTTATATGGCCGCGAAACGCAATGGATCTCACAAGGATGGCGATTTATTGACAAAACTTCAACTCGTTGTACTTGTGAATGCTGATAAGCTATGGCTTATAAGCCATAAAGAAGCCGAGGGCAAGCGGGGGTGCGCTTGCGCGCGTCCGTCGGAACTAGGTTACGCCGCAGCCGCCGCATGCGGCGGGTCAGCCTACGATTTGTCAAACGTCGCAGTTGACAGCGGGGCATACGAATTCCGCTCGGTCCATGACCCTCAGCCAAACAGAAGATAACAAATAGCCCACCTTTTTCAACCTCTTGCGATAGAAAACTAGAATAAGGGTTGCAGCAGCAAAAGGAATAACAGAGAATAGAAGATTGGGGGAAAAACATCGCATCATTATTCGGCGATTAGCTGATTGTATTTCGGTCCTGGAGCGAATATTGCAATCTGTATCGCCTCGACACTCGCCTGACGTGTCATTGGTCGAGAGACACGGCATCAGGGCGATCCGGCAACCGGGCTCCCACTATGCCCTAGCTGCTGCATTTTTGGACCTGGCAGCGTCCTTCCTGTTACCCTTGGGGGCCACCGGGTAGTATTAGAGAAAAAACTCAGCAAACCATCCCTATCGTGAACTGTGCCTTTAAAGTTCACCTCTGATGCTAAAGAGAAATGATATTTTCAAAGGTCCAGGATGCTGATTGAGTGAATGTTTCGGTAGTTCTCACGATCGCCTAGGTGGAGTTAAATAGGGAGGCTGGAATTCATGCTTGTGAGATTATGTACCAGTATCTAGTCACCTCTAGTCACTTGCACACAACTACATCCCAGTCATATCTCCTCGCTCCAAGTGTAAAATCTAACGTAGAAGTCTGAATTCACTAAGGAATAGCTTTAATGGAGATGCTCGATTGAGAATCGCCGAGGTGTGTGCAGGTGGGTTGTTTCCCACTCGAGGTTGATACCTAGTGTTTGACTGATTACAAGGCGTTGAGGAGGACTCCTTGCATATGAATATGAATATTAAAATGTAGTCGACCTTTTTCCAAAAGGCCATCTCTGGATCAACTATCAGCTGAGCACATGAATAAAGCTCGGTTGTGCAGGTGTTGATCCATGCACTCGAACAATTTCCGTGAGGGAAAATAGCAAAAACTGACTTTTCGACTCACCCGAACTCCTTTGTCCGTGTAGGTCTCTTGATAGGGCATAGTACCGACAATAATAGAGAACAAATAGGTAGACATGACAGGTGAGCGAAGAAATTTGGTCGTTGTCCATCCACTGTAAAGTAGTGCATACTTATTTGAATGTACACGTAAGAAAACCACTATGTTGAAAACATTTTTCAGGCAAAAACTGATGCCCAAAGAGCCAAATTGCTTCACAGCAGACAAAACTTCAGACTCGGCTTTACACCTTATCCGAGAGCATGTGCTTGCGGTTGGCAAAAGTGAAGCCCACTTCCACTCGATCTTGCAACTCACCCTTTCGTAGAGATGCTGGTCTCCTTCATATTGGACAACGCATAGGTTCCTTCAGGATGAATCACGGTAGCGTCGAAACGAGCTTTCGCCTCGGGGCTGTCGATACAAGGGAACAGACTGCGAGCCTCTTGTGGTTGCAGATGCGTAGCCGTTTTGAATCTTCAAAGGAAGCAGCTATAATCTTCCTTTTGTGAATATTTCCAAAAAACTCTAAAACGTCCTGAGAAGAATTCTGCAAATTCCAAGATCCTTACAACTCATTACTTTGACTTTTAAAGCGGAGCTCATTTTTTTCAGCTCACCACTTCGGAAAATTCTGAGTGGGTAAACAAGTCTGATTAAAGGCCTAACAAATTCACTCAGCTTGGCTTTGTCTTAGGCTTCAAAGAGATCGAAAATCATCTTCTGGCTTTCACGGAACCTGACAAAGGCAAAGAAACCGAAACCTATGTTGACTGAAATTGTCGAACTTTGGAAGGCACTAGTGAAGCAGTGGATTTATTCAACTAGGCAAGATATAAGAGAGATTGGCTACTGGACAAAAACCAAACTAAATTAGCTGTACCTGTTCTCTGATCCGTGCCGATAAGGGGCCACGAATATACCAGCATACCGCGGGTTGTTAATATTGCCTTTGAATTCAAGTGTCAAGCTGTAGTTGTGTCCGGGTAGGAGATCAGTAGACGCGAAAACATCCAGCAGTTGGGGATACTCCTCCGAGATCTCAAACGAAAAGTATGCATAAAATATCTTCCAATTGAATCATCATAGAGAGCCGAAAGACCCTCATCCAGAAGAGAAGAGCTGTTGGGAGTATCGAACAGGGTAGGTACGAAAACGTTCTAAAAAAATCCTCATAGTTAATGAGTACCAGCCGTCTCTTCCCTCCTACATGACTGTAGCATGCTGAATATTAACGATGCACAACTGGAGCTAAGATTTTCGAAATAATCCTTTATACTCGCAATGCCTTCACCGGTCCTCGTTGCGAAAAACTCACCTTCGTTTTCCCCATACTGGCCATAACCGTTCACCTTATACAGCCGATATTTATGGTGGAGACAATTTTAATGGAAAGAAATCGGGGCTTCCGTTGTCAATTAAAAATCATATCCAAGATTCTGGGCAAGAGTGCCTATCTGCTTCACTTGGCCTGAGTAACTCAAGAATCCAAAAAAAATCGGCCATGTCATTGCCAGACTCTGCTAATCCTCGAAAACTAAGCTTCCTTCTTGTAGGTGAGATCTATATATTTCAATGAAGCTGATTTGTTTCAAAAACACTTACTTTGTCGATGTCAACCTCTTCTATGCCGTGGAAAAGCCGCACTGAAGTGACGTTAAGCTGCTTCACATTCAACTGGATGCGCCGCATCGTGTAAAGCACGGTAAATTCCATGCTTGTCTTGCCATCCATCGTAAAATCCAACGCACCAAAAGTGACACCACTAAAGCAGATCACCCATGTGAAAATGTGAAAATCTCGAGATGATGATAGTCCTGTTCTGTTTGTACTCCATTTTGCCTAGGTTTTTCCTTGTGAGGTGGGGTGCATAGGTCTATCGCTTTATAGGTTCTCTAAGACCGGACGAGTAGTGTCAAATAGTAATTATGGTTAAAAAATCTCATCTCTCTAGGGAAAAGCCTCGGACCAGAGCATTCCATTGCTAACAAGCCTTCTAACTCACCCGAGTAGATTAATTGGTACCAGGTTCGTCTGAAAGTTAAACATTGGCTTGTTCTTCGGTTATTTCTACAAGCCACATCCAGAACCGTAGTATCATTTGGAGGCATATGGCCTCTCCGCACATGCACATGCAGTCGAATCCACATCTAGCTATGGACTGACCTTCACACTCATCTACAATGTTGCCAACACTTTTGGAAGAGGGCAAGATGCTTAAGACCAGACGTCGCCTTCGTTAGATCCTGGAGGCCGGAGCCGAAGATGCGTGAGATTCATCCCGATCTATCCGGGGCATACTCTCTGCGAAACTTTCTAAAGGCGGTTTGTAAGATGTTCTACAGGTCCACCGCAACACCATTTGAGGTGAGTTACCACTACGACTTTGGGGGGGGGGGGGGGGGAATTCTGA